TAAGAAAGGGATTCTACCTGGGAGAATCAAAGGAGTTATCAAAACAGCCCCTGTGAGAACCACTATACTGGCTCAGCTCACCACGGCTCATGAGAGACCCAGGGTCTGGGAGGAATGCTTCCCTTAAGTGAAAGCAAGTCAAGAGAATACTCATAAGGACCACATCAAGAGCAGCCTCTTAGTTCTGTCTCCACACTGGCTCCTGGAGATCCTAGAAGACCTTCTTGGGGAAAGGGTCCATGGTCCTTGAGCAAGACTCAAAGTGTGTTAATCAGGCCTGGGGAAGGCTAAAGCTTCCATCACCACCATCATTGAACATTACATTATAATATAATACATCATATTTATGTTGCTGAGATATAAACCTTTTCCAAGATGTTTCAGTTTTGTGTCTTATATAAAAACTGTGATTTTTTGAGCTTATGTTTACTCTCTACTTAGAATAATGGAAGTAAAACCTGACGTGTTCTTTTAAGAAAAGGGGCTCTGTCTATTCTGGGCTGGACTTTTCATTTATCCTGAAGCAGACAGTAAAGTACTTAAGAGAAGCATGGCTTTATTTAGAAAGTCCTTGGTCTGGAAAACAGATGTCAGCTATGTCCATAATGGACAATACTGATATTATCATCACACAGGAAGTATAAAGTCTATACCTGGCTAAATGGAATCTTAAAGGAAGCATATCAAGATGTCAGGAGCAGTTATTTCCACCGACTACAGAGGCTTTAAACTCTTCATTTGCTGGCCCAGCTTTCTGACTTCCTAAGGTGGCCCAACATTGAAGATGATTATAGGTTCCCATGTTATACAAAAATAAATAAGCAAGAAAAGAATCAGCATGTTACCCACACATCAATTGCTGGGGACAGAGGTGGCAAGGTTAATGGGACAGGCCAGGGAGAGGCAAGCAGGTGCAGAGGCTCAGAGCAGGTCCTCACACTGGCAGAGGTGGGCCTGACCCCATGAGCAGGAATGTGGACTTTGCTGCCTCCAAGGAGCTTCCCCATAACTGAGAGCAGAGACATGAGCTCTGTGCCTGCTGCTACCTTTGCAACTATGAAAAGTATAGCCTTGTGGTCAGAGCCCCACCTGTGCAATCAGACTGCCAGGGGAGCACGCTGTGCTCAGCCACTCTCTGGGTGTGTGACCTGAACAAGTCAATCAACCTCCCTGGTCCGTTTCGTCATCTATAAAGTAGGAGTGACACCACCATCTACCTAGTGTGACTATGAGGATTAAGAGATGATTCACTGCAGCAGGACCAGTGCTCGTGAAAAGCACAGTCACAACGTAAGCCACTATTAGGCACAGGCTGTGAAATGCCAGCTGTCAGGTACACTCCCAAAACCATATCACTGGGTCACAAACAACCAGAACAGAGTCCAAAAGTTAAATTTGCCCTTTTTCTCCTTCACTCCTGTAGCATACACAGAGTTGGCTTGCAGACCAGTGCACAGTGGGTGGCTGAAAATACAGGACAGCCTGCTAAAAAACGTGTCCAAAGGCCCCACATTGTGGCCAGAAATCCTGCTCCCAATGCTTCAGAATTTCTAGTCTCTGGCCACAGCTGCCAGACAGTGCCTTTGGCAAGAAGGTGGTGACTGCAGTGTGAGCTAGGACTTGGCCAGAAGACACTACACCAGAAGGCCTCCAGGCGGGAAGCTCCAAAAGGGCCAACTTACTGAAGCAGTTTGTCTACAGGACTCTTCACAAAACAGAGCAGTTCTGCCATTATCAGCAAACTCACATCAGACAAGCAGACCTTTCATGAATAAGGATGCCACCTGCAGCCTGGCTTTGGAGCTTTGGAAAGGAAAATCTGAAGGAAAGAGCCAGGCTGATGTTGCTGTACCCTAAAATCTCTACAGTCCTATATGGAAGGAACTGACCCTAAAAGTTCAAGTATTAAATCCAATTGCAAAAGGCTGCATGACCAATTATTTTAAGATAAACACATTGCACTTGTATGTGATGAAACCATCTTCAACCTTATGATTATCTCAGTTCTCCCAAGATGCAAACAAACGTCTTAATGTCTACCTATGAGGAAATGGTTATATTACTATATTAATTACATAGTTAAATAACAATGTTGCAGAAGGTAACCAACCAACTCCTCCAATTGTTAGGAGTTGTCCCAGCTTTACCACCACACACTGGGAAACCCCCTAAGTCCTGGGCAAACTGAAATGGTCCCAAAATACCATCAGAAAGAAACTTTAAAAAAAAAAAACGACGAAAGGGCAAACTTTCAAATGAAGAAGTGCTAAGTGTCAAGCTTGTTTGCAGCAGCAGCTCCCAGTTCCTTTTCACAGTAGACACGACTAGAAACCACAGCAGCTTCTCCCTCCCCCCTCAAACAGTTAGAAACAGACATACCCCATTCTCTTGCTTGACTCAGAGGTCACTGCAAGAGTATCTGCTGCAGTAGTGACCATGACCACCCAGCCAGTTCAGCCCTTCAGAATTTGTAGGGCAGAAAATGTCATCCGTGATCATCTCTCACTTCAACTACATCCGAAGGCAAACCATGACAATTTATGATTCAAGTTATCAGCAGCAAGAATGTGTCCTCAAATCAAAAAGCAAAGAGCTGTAGCAGGACATCGAGATTTGCCTTACACATAGGCATTGTAGGGACCAGGAAGAGGGGGGCTGAAATGGTTATGGCATTCCTCGGTAGAGAGCAAGCTGCTCCACTGCAGACTGAAGCAGGGATTCCATGCAGGTGGCTCACCATCCCCAGCGATGGGACAGAGCTCTTCCTGAAGGAGCTTAATCAGAGTGTTGTCAGAACAAGTTAGATGAGGTTAAAAACCAAGTTCTAAGAAGTGTGCTTCAAACAAAAAAGACTGTATAAGGCCAGAGAAACACACTTCCTGAACCTAAAGAAACACAGAAACCATCTTTGCTCACCACTGCACCCCACCCCGCCCTACCACCACCTGACCCAGTCTTCCTCTGATTTTGTCCCCAAACAGACTGGTAGGTTTAAGTGTTCCTTGGCTCTTTCTATACATCAGGAGATGGAGTCCAATGGAAGCTGTAGCTCTTTCCCCTTGGTGGTAGTTTACTGGGGGGAATAGAGGGGATGAACTTAGAAGCATTTTCACAGACAAACGTCTTTGAAAACTCCACTATGAGAAGCCTGAGAATAACCCCCTGTGCTGATAAGCCCAGGAGGCCAGGAGGCTGATGCACTTTAGGAGAAAGTGCCTTCTCCTACCCCACATCAACACATCTGGGGAAATGAAGGTGGTGTCTCTGGGCCTCAGCTTTCTGCTGCTAGAGGAGCCAAAAACTGAGGGTCTTGAGGAAGACTTGCTTGCTTCTCCAGGTCAGCTATTTCTACTTAGAAGATAAGGAATCCAGGAAAGATGATTTGCATCTTTATAAGTAAAATTCTGCATGGAATTCTTTCCTACACAGCCTAACAATGCCTTCTAGAACCATGTTGTTTAGGAATTAACAAAGCATAGGAAAGTGTACTATCAACGTTGAAGGGCTGGACTTGACACACTGTAAACCTTAAAGAAGCAACTATCTAACAGTTGTCGAATTTTGTGGACAAAGGCTAGGGAAAATCCTAGTATCAACTTACAAGTACTTTAAATGTTCAGGAGCCAATGAGGAGGGGCAGGTTCATCACAATTAACAGCTGCTCCCTGCTAAATTTATCAGAGATTTTAACTCAGTGACTAGAATGCAGTGGGGGAAGGGAAAGAAAGGGGGCTTAAATATGTAAAGAAAACAAAGTGAAGTAAATTCAATCTAAAGAACAAATCACTGTGGATCACGGCTGCAATGGTTGTGCTTAAGTTGCAGGACATTCTAACTGGATACTAGCTAATAGGACCCCTCTTGAGAAGTTTGAGGTGAAGTTGGGCGGTGGTGGCACACACCTTTAATCCCAGCACTCAAGAGGCAGAGGCAGGAGGATCTCTGAGTTCGAGGCCAGCATGATTTACAAAGCTACACAGAGAAACCCTGTCTCAAAATAATAATAATAATAATAATAATAATAATAATAATAATAAATGAGAAGGAGGAGGAGGAGTTTGAGGTTTGATCGCAAGGGCTGGTCTGTCTGACACCATGTGTCAAAGTCAAGACTGCCTCTCCAGTTATCAGGCCCCCAAAACAATATTTCACTGTGGATGAATAAACCCGGGAAGAAACATGATCTTTTTTTTTTTTTTTTTTTTTTTTTTTTTTTTTTTGTTCATTTAAAGAGCTGCAAAGATGTTTGGGGGTTTTGTTTGTTTGTTGTTTTGTCTCACAAGTTGCTTGGGCTTCCATGAGTGTCAATGTCCAGACTTGTAGCAAGGGCTGTCAATAGGATTCACCAAATAATCCCATTGCTTCAAGCAGAACTCCAGGGCTGCCCGGTATGATGTCTCAGCCAGAAAAGCAACAAAGCTGATGCGCACCAGCATCTGCAAGTTCACCCTGGGACTTGACTTCACCTCCAACTGGGAGATCGGAACCTAGTGCGCATCTCTCAGCTCTCAGCACCCCCATCCCACACCCTACATCCAGCCTCTGGGCAACTAAAGAGGAAGTCAAGATGTCCTATGCAACGAATGAAGACAACCGGCCACACTGGAGTGGGGATCCCAGCCGGTCTCTTGCCTGGCGCGGGAGAGGTCCAGAGCTTCGAGCCTCTCTCCCGGCGTCTACCTTCCTCCTCCTGACCCCGCCGGCAGCCTTCTCCGGGGCAGCCCCAGCCTGACTGCTCCCGAGTGCGCAGCACGGCCCGAGGCTCCCCTCCCCCGGTAGCTGCGGCGGCGGCCCGCGTCCCCCGCGCACGGCGGCCTCTCCCGCACCCTGCCGACCCTCTCCAGCCGCGAACGCGCACTTGCGACGGCCCAGGGCCGAGACTGCGCGGGAGCTGAGCCCCGCGGCCGGCCGTGCACGCTCCAGCCTGCGCGTAAACAGCTCCGGGCGCGCTCCGCTCCCGCCGCGCCCCCTTCTCCGCGCCCCGCGCCCCGGGTCCCTACCTGGTCGCAGAGTTTGAGCACTGCCATTCTTCCGCTCCCGCGCGCGTGCACACATACAGGTCTCAGCTCCGCAGATGTCACGCCGGGAGCCGGGGGAAACGAAAGGGACAGCCCGGGAACCTGCCAGCAGCCGGGCTCCCGAACCTGACAGCCCTCCCACTGCCCCGCCGCCGCCGCCGGCCGCCCAGAGCCCAACCCCGGCTCGCGGGAGTCTCAGCCCGGCCCGCCCGCCTTTATACAGGAAGTGCCGGCCGCTGCCAGCTGGGCCGCCACTGACATCACCGCGCGCTGCCTCCCTCGCGCCGCCCGGGCCGACGCTGCCTCCTGCCGCCCGCAGCCGCTCCTCGCAGCCCGCTGCCCGGGCGCCCTCCCGCACCTGCACCCTGCGCTGCCAGAAGCCCGGGGCTGGGGGTGCTGACGGCGACCCACCCCAGCGATCCCACCCACGCGCACGCGACTAATGGGCAAGCCCTCGCAGACACACCCCAAGGGCCCAGAAAGCTTGCCACTCAGACGCCACCAACTTTCACCCTGGAGACTGTGTCACACCCCCTTGCCCTAAACCTCTTCCTTAATCAGATTACTCCGGCGCTCCCAAATTTCTGCCACCTGGCCTCAGTGCGGACAGTCTCTTTGTCTAACGTAGGGAGGCCCTGGGCTCATGATTCGAGTATTTCTCTAACACGTGGGGGCGGGAGGAACAGGGGCTCCATTTCAACTTCTGCAGCCACCTCCTAACTAAACCACACACTACCCTAAATTGGTAAATTGGTAGCCTGGGCTTGGGGCTGGAGGTAGCACTGAGAAGAAGAAAGAAAGAAAAAGAAAAAAAGAAAAAAAAAATTTCTAAATTGCTGCACAGTCCTGGCTGAATTATCCCTACAACTGTGTAAGTTGCCATGCTTCCCCCTCCCCCAACAGACAGAAGACAGCTGCCCAGTTGCACGGGTTTCTAACACAGTAGTAGCAATCCGTAGTTAGTGCTTTTGAGATCTGGGGAAATAACTTAAAATTCAGGCAGGGGCTAGGCTTGGGGAGGAAAAATGGGTAAGCAGGTAAGATAGGTGTTGGCTAGTTTTTACCTCAGTTTGACAGAGTATAGTCATTTGAGAAGAGGGAACCTCAGTTAAGAAAATGCCCTCTCCAGATTGACTCGTGGGCAAGCTGATGGAATGTTTTCTTGATTAATGATTAATGTGGGAAGACTGGACTCACTGTGAGTGATGCCACCCCTGGGTGAGTGGTCCTGGGCGTGTAAGAAAGCAAGCTGAGCGAGCCATGAGAAGCAAGTCTGTAAGTTGTACTTCCCTCATGGCCTGTGCTTCAGGTCTTGCCTCCGGGGTCCTGCCCTGGCTTCCCTCAGTGATGTGGAAGTGTAAATAGGAATAAACCCTTTCTTTCTTCCACAAGTTGTTTTTGATTATTTTTTTTTTTAAACAACAACAATAGAAACCCCAAGTAAAACACTATAATTTCAAACTGAAATAAGGAGTCATGAGGAGGGCTACTTATGAAGGAAAAGGCCAGACAAGATTGGTGGATGAGGGCAGGCTTCTCTGAGAGTGGTAAAGCTGAGATCTAGAAAAAAGAGTTAAGCAGGGAAGTGAGAGGCGGGGCACTCCCAGGAGGCCTTGAGTGCCCCTAGCAGTCCACGGAGCAAGCCCTCAGGCCTGCTGAACAAGTCACAGCTAGAGTGCTGGGGAAGATCAAACGCCTGCCTCTACAGTTCCCTCACAAATCAACTGTAGAATTTCTCCCCATGGTCAGTGCCTTCCTGAAGATTTCATGGGGGAGGGGAGTAACAGGGGTCGTTTACATTCTTGTATATCATCCTCCCATTCTGACTGGTGAACAGCTAAATCCCAAAGCTACTCTTACCCACCCTAGAGAATGGTTCGACTCATGCAGAAAAGGGGACCTAAGGAGCACCGTCCTGGAAACCCCTGCTTGACCACCAGTGATAAGCAGACACGATCCCCCTACAAAGTCATTGTCCCTAGACCCTTCTCAAACACAACTCGGGTTGTCTGGGGTGTGTTTGAAGCACCTCCATGCTGTTCCACAGACTGTGTGTGAGTGTGTGAGTGTGTGTGTGTGTGTGTGTGTGTGTGTGTGGCACCTCCATGCTGCTGATCCACACACTATGTGTGTATGAGACACCACCATGCTGCTATTCAGCAGACTGTTTACTAATATTTTGCATAGATTTGTAAGTAAATAGGACAGGAAATTCCCCAACTAAATATAACCATATTTCTAAAAGAGAGATAAAAATTATATAATTTGACAGATTCCCTCGAAATCTGCTCTGGGTCATCATGCATATACATGAGTTCTTGAGTCACAATCAGTCCCCTGCCCACCCACTTACCCCCTCCCTTTCTGAGACAGTGTCTTGCTATATTACTGTCAATCTGGTCTTGAACTCTCAGTCCTCCTATTTCTGCGTCCCAAGTGTATGCTGTCACAGAAGGCTGTCACTGGAACCCTAGAAGACACTTACTTTCATAGAAGTAGTAAGTAGTACTTTTAACATTGCCTTCACTGTCCTGAACTGAAATTCAAACATTATATGTCTACTTACACAGATTTATTTTAAAATTCAATGTGTTGCTCTAATTAGATAATAAATGAAAAACAAATGGAAAAATATAGTGGCTACATATTTCAACAGCTAAATGATACATATAGCACAACCCTACTAGAAGACAAAGCAGTAACATTGTGGATACACTGTGGCTGAGAGCACTCACCAATCTGAATGTGTGGTGTCAGCAACTGATATGTCAAAATCAGAGTGCCGGAGATCTCAGAACTGCAGACTAGGTCAGGAGTTCAAGGTAGTTCTCAGCTCCATCAAGTTTAAAGCCAGCCTGACCCAGTCTCAAAACAAAAACACAAAAACAGCCATGGAAGTGGTTCTCTGGGTAGAAGCACTTGCCTTCAAGCCCAACAACTATCAGGCCTGATCCCCTGAACCCACATCATAAACCAAGTGTGATGGTGGCACGCATCCATAATCCTAGAAGGTCTATGGCAAGGGAGGTGAGGTCAGGAAAATAGGCCAGCTAGCCTGGAACACACAGCATGGGAACAATGGCTCCTACCTCAGAAACAAAGCAGAAGGAAAGAACCAACTGCCTAAAGTTGCCCTTTAACTTCATGTGTCCCTTGGCATACATGTACACACACAGACACACGCACAAACACACACACACAGAGAGAGAGAGAGAGAGAGAGAGAGAGAGAGAGAGAGAGAGAGAGAGAGAGAATTAATGGTGTTGTCTTAAACAAGATGTTGTGAAATTTGAACTGGTCCCTAAAAAAGAAAAAGTAGGCTAAATTAATTAACATTAATGCCTTTCCAGAGAGTCTGGCCTTACATGTTAAGGTAGTTTTACATGTGTATCTTTACATGAAGGTGCTGTATAATACACTAGTGAGGGCAACAACATAAAAACTCCGTAAAAGATGGAGATGGGGTGGGGGTTGCTTTCATTCAGCTACCTCCCTGGTGGCTATACTGAGATGCTGGGGTGGCAGTAGCCAGATAAGACTGCTTAAGTGATACAGATGCATGAACACATGACCATGGGCAGCAGAGACAACACGATGCTTAAAGTTTACTATTTGGCAATGACCTGGGAAAAACCTAGAAATTAAATATATGGAAAGACTTAGAAATGTCCCCTGATTTTTATAGCAGGCAAACCTCTGGGCTTGCAACCTGAAACCTGACTTGTGTCATCACAGAGAGTACTCTTTCCCAGCCAGTCTCCACACTAAGCCAGGTCATAGGCACAGAACTCCTAGAATGAAGAAGGTAGTCTGCTTCAGGGGGACCCTAAATATTGCCATAAATGCATACTACAAATTTCCCTCAAAGAAACCTGTTGTCATTTTCCAGGGTGACCTAGCACTAGGAAAATGGAAAAACCCACATATCCCAGGGATTATTAGACACTATCTAAGCTCTTGCTAGTCCCTGAAATACCAAGTATCCACCCACCCATCCCCATCCACCAATCAAATCAAGGCATATGGAAATGGTGACACATGGAGTTTTTAATGCAGGTTTAATCACTGCAGGCCTATAATGTATTTACATGAGTGGTCTATTCTTGAGTATATAGTAGGAAGATGCACTCTCGATAGCTAGCAGAATCCCAAAGTTCTCTGACACTCAGTGCCATGGTAGGATACGCCAACTGGAAACCCTTTGTTACTATTAATAGACTAGCAGGACGGGGATAATACTGTGTCCCACAGAATGTAGACATCAACACCATCACAAAACAAGTGGGAGATGAAGGGAGTGGGGTAGCATGAAATTTAACTCACCACTTGGCCTGTGCAGCTGACAGAAGGACTTCTGAATTTAACTACAAATTGTTGTTAAATTAATAAAGAACACCAGTTGCTGCTAGGGCTGTAACTTTACTTCAACAAATGAACATGAGCTACACTCTTAGTGTATATGTATTTAGAGAGCAAATATTTTTTTAATTTATGTATTATTTATTTTATTTTATGTGCATTAGTATTTTGCCATATGTGTCGGATGCCCTGGAACTGGAGTTAGACAGTTGTGAGCTGCCATATGGTGCTGGAAATTGAATCCAGGTCCTCCTGAAGAGCAGTCAGTGCTCTTAACCACTGAGCCATCACTCCAACCCAAGGGCAAATGTTTTTAAGCCATTTTAACGTGTATGGACTAATTCCATGAGTTCAACTTTACAATCTTGCTTATGTAATATAAGTCCACCTTGGTCACTGTGTTAAAGATACCTCAGATGATTGGACCTGAGAACAGAAAGTGCTTGAGATGCCTTGATAAGACCCATGTATACCAGAATGTGGGCTATTCACCTCAAAGAATTCACCACTGTATTGAAGTTTCTGGTGGTCCAGGGATCTGGCCACTGACAGGGTATCTTCTGAGAAGTAAAAGACAAATTGCTGTCCTTTATACCACTGCTCTGTGTCAATTTGAGTGTTCCCTGTGGTTACTCATGTTAAATATTGATCCCCACTGAGAGGTTGGGAACTTGCTATCATGTGCTATCTCAAAGGTAAGGACTTGGCAGATGAATGAAGCAAGAGAAGGCCATCAGGTCGGTGCCTCATGGTTGAATATTGGTGGCTATATAAGA